GACATATATTACCCTGCATTATGTGAAAATACAACAAAGCGTGAACCTCCAAACTACAAAATTTCTCTTAAACAACTATATTACATTCTAATCATTTTACAAATGTTGAATTCCTTCATAGTTTCTTAATTCCCACAATAAACATTGGGTATCTGTCCCTCATTTTCCTTTTCTGTAAAATGAAGATAAAAATAATATCTACCTCATATGATTTTCTTGAAATTTGTAGAGCACTTAGAATAATGTGTCTGACATATTAAGCACTATATATGTTAGTAATTATATCATTATTTATGCTGTACCCAGTAGTATTGCTGTGGGTGGGCAGAGGATGCAGATATTTAAAAAGCATGAATTATGAGTAGTTTTCACTGTGACCTAGCTGGGGAAGGATACCAACAAATACGAAATATAAAGATTAAGATCTGGAACCAGGTGTATTATACAACAGGAGGGACAACATCTGGAAGTGGGAAAATTATGAGTTGGTTTATTTAGGAAAGACCTTTTGAAGGAAATCATAAGACTTTTTCTAAGAAATAGGCCAGGTTGAAGAGGAGAAACCAAGGTCACTATAGATGTGGTAGCACAGGATCCGTGGTCTGAAATCAAGGCTACACTTGGCATTTGTAAGGTCAGAAAGAGAAGCCTTAGTTGAGTGAAGAGTGCATTGGGGTTGTGTGGGTCAGGCTACAAAGTAGTGGCAGAGAAGATTCTCTGGATAAACATATTGTGAGACTTTCCATGCTATCTTGAGGAATTTGGATTTTAGCTCCAAGGCATGGAAAGCTATTAGAGAAATTTGAACAGGAAATTATCCAGATAATAGTAGTTCTGTAAGAATGCTATTGTGTAAAATGAGAGACACTTAAGGAAAGTGAAAAGTTGGATACAGAAGTCAAGGCAAAAAGGGATTAAATTTTGGAATATAGAAATGATATGGGACTAATTACAACCTATTTTCTAAAAATTGCACATGTATGTCTTTAAGGTCATCCTGTAAATTAGATAAATTATCATCCACATCTTACTGAAGATAAAGAGCTTCAGGTAGAGGGTACTTAGATGACAAAATCACACTTGAACTTATTTATTAAATATGTATTGCATGTCAGCCATTCCAGGTTATGTTATAGCCACTGATGAAATACAGTGAAGAAGATTTACAAACTTCAAGAAAATTTATAGTGTGAGCATAGACAATGGGCATTTGGGAAATGCTTGTAGAATTGAATAAAAGAATAAATGAAGAGATCACATTACTTATAATATTTTGAAATGATTCCATATGAAAAATAACAAAAATATGCCTTTAGGCTTTACTTCAATGAGGTTGCACACTTTATTCTTAGTTCTAGCCAATTCAAACCACCATAGGTCAAGTGTATCTGAATAGTCACTTCGAGAATATGTTAGTTTTCTATTGCTATCATAAGAAATTATGACAAACTTTGTGGATTAAAATAGTTCAAAAGTATTATCCCAGGATTCTGTAGATCAGGAGTCCAACATGGATCTCATGGGACTAAAAACTAGGTGTTGTTGGCGAGGCTGCATTCCTTTCTGGAGACTCCTTTTTCATTCAAATTATTGGCTGAATTTAATTCCTTTTGATTGTAGGACTGAGTTAGCTTCTACAACCTGGATGTCAGCTGAGGACTGTTTCTAGCTTCTAGAGCCCATCACATTCCTTGGCTCATGGCTCCCTTTTGTCATCTTCAAAGCCAGCAATGGCAGGTTGTCCTCATTCTTCGAGTCTCTCCTGCCTCCGCCTCCACCACACCTCTCTCACTGACTGATTTTTCCACATTTAAGAATTCATGTGATTGCATTGGACCTGTCCAGATAATCCAGGATAATCTTTCTATTTTAAGGTCATCTGATTAGTAATCTTACTAGCAACTGCTCAGTCCTTTTAACCTCATGTATTCACAAGTTCTGGGGCTTAGGGTGTGGCCATTTTTGAGAGGTGCCATTATCCTGTCTTCTACAGAGAGGAATGAAGCACAATAGTTAAAGGTTTAGATTAGATGTTAGACACTTCTCTCATTCAGGATTGCTGAATGCATGTTTGTTAACTTAGTTTCCTTTTCCCATTCATACACTATATCGTATTTAAAGGAGGAAATAAAACAGAAGTACATATTGCAAGAAATGCTACAAACATTGAGGCATAAGGATCAGGCAGAATGCCTTTGCATATGAGAAGTTTTACACATTCAGGTGATGCATTTGTTCATTGTAAATGATATTTTCTACTAAATTCATGGTTTTGTACTGTTCACTTTGGAAATAAACAAAGAAGAGCCTTCCTCTCATATTTCCAGTGTGCTAGATGAGATTAATTGGGCAAACAAATTACTATAATACAAGAAAACCCTTCCTATGATGTGCTACTATAATGGAAGTACAAAATACTGTGAAGAATGGAGGATGGAGGGGTTATCTTTCATCTGAGAAACTAGAGATTAATTCATGGCATTTGAGTACTGAAGTGCACGTAAGACAACAGGCAGAAAAGGGAAGAGGCGCTTATTTAGAGTAAGGGGTGGCTAAATAAAGTTCAGAGCTGGGAGATGATTGTGTATCTTTAAGTACTTGGAATTCTTTCAGACTGAAGTAAAGCATAGGTAAAAAGGTTTATTTGGATAAAAAATGAAGTGTTATACAGATTGAAAAAAATACCACAGAGGGTCACATTTTTCAGAAACAGGACTTTGGACTTTTTTTCTAGAGAATGGGGAGACATCAAATGCATCTGAGCAGAGGAAGGCAAGATCAGTGTCATACATCAAGAAGTGATTTGTGCCCATAACAAGTGAAATAGAGAGGAGTAACAGTTTGGAAGTGAGGAGAGCCACCAGAAAGTGCCGGCAATAGAATAGAGATAATGAATCACATGCTAACTAAAGTAGAGATGGTATGAATGTAAGTAAAGGGGAAATGAGAGGGGCACTGAGGACATAGAACCTAAAGGAATGGGACAGGGATTAGATGTGAAACGGTGAGAAAAATGTGAGTTATAAGGTTTAGAGCCTTGGCAGGAGGCTCTAGAACAGCATAGGTACCGTAAATAGAAAGAGCGAAACCAGGTGGAGAAGAAGGTTGGGGTGGAGGGATAGAGATAGTGAGGTTAGCTTGTATCTGTTAAGTCTGAAAACTGGGTAGAAAATTTAAGTGGAAATGCTAACGTAAGAGAAAGTCCCAGCAAGGATGAGACGAGGGTCAAGAAGAAGGAAATCCACAGTTAAAGATGAGACTAAATTGATGGCCAAAGAAGATGGAAGAGATTTCATAGTAGACACAATGGCATGGGAAGATTTAAGAAAAGAATCTTGAGTAAGATGTTGGGAAGCCCCTGAAGAGAAGAGCAGACGTTGAGATCTAGTATCTACCTCTATTCGGTATTTATAACTCACCTTGTCATTGGCAGAAGCCGTTGGGGAGGAGTAGAGTCAAGATGTAAGACCGAGTTAAGGAATAATTTTTGTTGCTGTTGGGGAAATATTCTAAGAATAGAATTTAGCTTAACAAAAGTGGGGAAAGCCCATGTAGAATACTACAAATACCACAGTAAGTTGTTTGATGCCAATATGGGCAAGGTGGGAGATTTTAACTCCTTAAATTTATTTACCTTAAAAATGACATCTTAAATTGGTTAGGTACATTTTTTGTTTTAGACAGAAATTCTAGCAGTAGGAATCATATGTATGCAAATATCCAATATATATCCTATTTTTAAAAACTTAAATTGTACATAAGGTTTTTAAATTCCAGCCAGGGTTAATGTGAGAAATGCCTAGCCTTGAATATCAACTGACAAGGCTATAGATTTGCCCAGTGTCACAGCTGAGATGACAGGAAGAATATTTTTCTAATTGCTGCCAGGAGGCCAGAGTCATCCGTTGAGCAGCAGGACTTCAAAGATTCACTGGTGCTCCACAGCAGAGAGTTCTTCTGAAATTAGTGAGAGTGAAAGGAATGTGCTGTGAGCCCCCATCCACTGTTTATCTGGGAGGGCTGGGAGGATAGTGAGCTTGACAGTGAAATTCTAACCCTGAAAACTGATGAGATGCCAGCATTTTCCTGCCTTGTGGGGACTGCCGGGGGTATCGCCTCTTACTTCATAGGGGAGTGACTGGTATTTGAGTGCTGATAACTACAATCTTGGTTGTGAGGCTGAGTCAGAGAGGACATTCCAGAAGAGCAAATGGCTGAGAAAAGAGAGCCAGGCCTGCAAATGAGAACAGAGGTTCTGGACAAACCATGGTGCTGCCAGGGTGCTGGTAGGAGGACAGAGGCTACAGGAACATTTTCTGAAGGGAGACCTAGTATGAACATGCTCATATTTTAAATAGGAGTGGCAAAGAGAAGCAAGAAATATGTTTGATCTCTGGCCTAGCATATCACTAATATTTGCCGAGGAGTTTTTTGTGTCAGTGATAGACAGCTGGAACAGAGAGCCTAATTTATGGAAAGTAGCTGAAAACAGTTGCTTCTTGAAAATCAGACCTCTGTGCTAAAATCCCAATAGGATAACCAAAAGGAAAAATCATATACTATGCTAAGCTTTCTCAGAAGACTATTTCTATGCTATGTTGACTTTCCACATGCAGTTGTTTCTGTCTTTAGTAACTGAAAACCATAGAACAATCCATAGTAACTAATCCTTAATTAGACCCAAAACCTGATTTATATTTTCCTTTTTGGGTTAGGTTAAACCACCAAATCTACATGGGAGGGAATACCAAGACAGAAGACAGTGTGGGTTGTTGTACTAACAAGACATCAAATATGCTATTTGGAGAATGTTTCTAAATTATAACTTCATTTGTCATCTCCAGAAGAACTTTAAAGGAGAAGTTATAAACCTATTAGGCCAGCAGCAAGAGATACAATAGCACTGTCTACACAAACAACAGTGTCTTAGTCTGTTTTCTGTTGCTGTAACAGAATACCATATACTCAGTAATTGTAAATAAGAGGAATTTCTTTCTTACCATTCTGGAGGCTATGAAGTTCAACAGGATGGCACAGGCATCTGGTGTGGGCCTTTATGCTGCATTCTCCCACAGCAGAAGAGCAGAAGGGTAAGTGAGTATAAAAGGGAAAGCATGAGGGACTAGGCTTGCTTTTATAACAACCCACTCTCTCAATAACTGACCCACTCCCGAGGTGACTTAATCCATTCATGAGGGCTCCACTCTCAGGACTCAATCATTTCTTATTAGGCCTCACCACCCAACACTGTAGCATTGGCGAATATGTCTTCCAATATGTGAATTTTGACAAATACATTCAAACCACAGCAAGTGGCAAATAGGAGAAGCACAGACTGGTGGTTGAGTAAGACATGGAACATGGACCAAGAGGATTTTATACTGGTCCACTGGGACCATGATGTAGGCTTTGAAAAGGGCCTCAGAAACACAGCAGATTTTAATCTTGTGGTGTCACAAATATCTTAATGATGAAAACTCAGGTTTAACAATGTTACACCCTTCAGGGCTGCATATTTATCATCTTCCTTAGTAATACTAAGTCTTATCCTCTAATGATACCACAGTGACAAAACATAAAACTGAGTTGGAACTCCCCAAATACCACACATTCCCTTCCGTCTTCTTTCAAATGTTCCCCAGTGAGCCTGCTACTTTCTTTTCGTTGTTTTTGTTGTTGATTTTTGGTTTTTGGTTTTTGAGATAGAGTTTCACTTTTTTTGCCCAGGCTGTAGTGCAATGGTGCCATCTCAGCTCACTGGAACCTCCGCCTCCCTCGTTCAAGTGATTCTCCTGCCTCAGCCTCCTGAGTAGCTGGGATTACAGGTGTCTGCCACTACGCCCAGCTAATTTTTTGTATTTTTTAGTAGAGTCGGGGTTTCACCATGTTGGCCAGGCTGGTCTTGAACTCCTGACCTCAAGTGATCCACTCGCCTCAGCCTCCCAAAGTGTTGGGATTACAGGCGTCGGCCACTGCACCTGGCCTAAATTATTCTCAAGAGGCGATAGCATGCTTTGACTGTGGATTGTGTGGACTGCTGAATTAATGTTAAAATAGCTAATTATAAAAATAATTTTGTATTTTAGAGTAAACATTTACTCTTTGTCAAGTATGCTTAAGGACTTTGTGTCCTTATTGTCTAAGGACTTTATGTATTTTATGCCATTTTATTTTTATGAGGATCATGAGCTGGGTAGCATCACTATTTTCATTTTGCATGTGTGGATACTAGGACTTTAGAGAAATCCTAGTGGAGTAAATGGCAGAGCTGGCCTTTGAACCAGGACCTGTTCAACTCCAGAGTCTGCCTCTTACACCCTAGACTGGCTGCTTCAGAACAAAGTACCCAGGAGATATTAAGCAATATGTATCTATAATTAAATGTATGTGCTTTTTGGCCAAGATGAGTTTGGAAACTTACCAATGGGGAGAGTATCTTATTTAGAGAAATTGTCAGATTTTTTCTTCTTTTTGCAATTGGAAAGTGAGCAATAAGTAAACATTTCTTTTTGGCCCACATTTAGATTCTTTGTTTACAGTTCCAAGAAGTATAATTTCTTGTTTCTCTGAGCCAGAAAGAGGAATAGTGGTTGGCAGATTGACAGGTGACCAGTGGATTAATCAATGGGATGTAGTGGCTGCTACACTTTAAGGTGACCCCTGTATAACTGTGCCAACGGCAGAGAATCCTCTGGCAAGCTTCCTGCTCTATGTGGGATAGAGACAATGGCTCTGTCTCCTTCCGCAGCTGGGTCCCTGACTTTGCTTGGGAAGCATAGGTAGAACCGGAGCCTGCAGAACCAGAGTTCCATATTCTCTTTTATTCTAGTTTCCATGGGAGGGTCCTACTTTGTGTGAAGTAAATGTATTCCTGAAGATTTGAACATAATCACATTTAAGCGAGTCATATTTGAAATGTAGTATGATGATGCACTGTGTCCATTTTTTCTTAACAGTTTAAATAATAAAATTGAAAGGTTATTTAAATTAATTCAGGACATAGAGTCAAGGAATGCTATGATAATTGCTTTCATGTGACCCTTTCATAAGGTGAGTAACTTCTAATTTTTTAAAAGCTCACTTTTTACTTAGATTTCTTAAAACAGGATGAATATGTATTATACTTTCAGACAACATTGACTAATACACACATCACGTAATAACTGTAAAGTCTATTCTCCTTCATTTTCAGTTTTCTCATCTGTAAAGAAGTATGTCTTAAGATTGTTTAGATAATTCTATATGCTACAAGGAAGTCAGTATCTGGCCTATGGTAGGGGTCTGATAAGTGATAGTTCTTGTTAACAGCAGTCAGTTTGAAATCCAGAAAGCCCTGCCTGAGAGGACAGAGCTCTTGGGTTTTGTCTCAATTTTAGCACCTGCTCTCTCTGTGACTGCTGTTAGTTCATCTCTAAAGTAGAAGTGATTATTTATTCGGCTAAAATTTAAAGCACTGGACCAAAAGGCCTTTGGAGGTTTGTTCTAGGTCTAGAATCTATTTTAAAAAGATTTAATTCAATTATATAGTTTAATTTAGAAACTGGTAGAAACTAGCTGCTTGGTTAAATCTAGTGCGTGTCTTATAATTGGTTTATGCTCTCTAGCAGTTATCACCACCATTACAGAGAAATGGGATGGGCTAATTTCATGCATTCTCACTCACATGCATAACCCTGTTCTGTTTTTTCTCAGTGACATTTTCCCTAAGACCTTCATTCCTTTCAAATTCATCATATTTCTTTCTCTTTCTTACCTTTCTGTGATTTTTTTTTCACCAAGAGGACTGACTTAAAAAATGAGTTCAGCACCTCAGCAAATTTCAGAATTGTGATTAATTCTATGCCCTTTCTCATTTATTAGAAGCTCTTATTTCTCTCTCGTCATCTTCTCCCTCCTGATAGATTTGCCCTTCTAATACTCTTTAACTCTTTGGGCTTACCCTATCTCCCTTGGCTCTTTTGCTTTTCTTATCTCTATCCTGTTGGCCTTAACTGATGTAATTTGTTTTCCTTGCGGTTCCTCCTCCTCTGTAAAGACGTGAACAGTCACTGTGAATATTTCTCACTTTTTGCATTAGTCTTTGTCAGCTGAATACCAATCTAACACACTTTTCATGAAAGTTTACAGCAAGTCCAGGCTTTTCTCCTACTTCTAAATTTTCAGTCCTCTTGCAAAGTCGTATGATACTTGCCAAATTGATCTCCTGCAAATTAGTTTTAGATACTGTTTCTCATTTTCTGATACGGACTCACTGTGGATGAGGCTGAACAGTTGATCTCAGCTTTGAGCAAATGATTCTCTCTAGTGGATCGACTTGTACCTCATTTAGTTTGCTAGACTTGGGGTCTATGGTACATATAGTTTCTGGTCCACCTTGAAGTCTAATTTGGGGCAGGTCACTATGTCTTATGGCCCTCAGTAAAACAGAAAACTAGATATATCATTATTGTCCAGATCTATACACTTAAATTTTTTTGAAAACAATAATGAGGTTCTAAGAGCAATTCTGAATTATCTCATAAGATTGCATCCGTAATCTCAAATTTCCTTGCTTTGGGTTAAAAATGATTTCAATTCATTGTGGTATGGGGACCTTGGATCAGAAGCTCAGACTACATGTATTTATTTATATTTATGAACAACATTGGGAAATATAGCTTGTTTTATTTAATATATTTTGTTCAGTTGAATTTTTTTCCAAACCCATAGTCCATGGCTGAGATGAGGGGGAGGAGATAAATGGAATCTTGGCTGGAGGAGCATTTGGGAACTGCTGGACTAGATGGTCCCAGAGGTCTCTGCTGGTTCTTTGGTTTCATAAGTACATGGCTCATTTGGGGCAGGCTGGAATTTATCTGCAGCGGAAGCTGTCAGCTCTCACGATCTTGACTCTGTAGTTGACTGGTGGGATGGAAGGCAGGAGGTTTTGCCCTAAGAAAGGGTCAATTGTCATCCCTTCCTTTCACAACAGGCTTGACCTCACGTGGGCTAGCACAATCCTTGGGAATTTATTTAGTACTCTGGAGTTAAATATGAAGCAAATGTTGCTTTAAGTACATTTTGACCTTGCCTTTTTTTTTTTTTTTCCAGTTTTCAAGTTACCAGAAAAACAACTCAGGGAGAACGTTTTCTCTCCATAGGTTCTGTTGATTGGGGTGACAAGAATTTGATAAGTTACAAGGTAACCACAGAGTCTGACGTGAGTTACAAGCTTGGAATTCAGTGTCATGTGGTTTCTCAGGAAATCTCAAAATTGTTGGGAGAAAAACCTTTGACTCATTTTTGAGAACGAGGTGTCACATGTCTTACAGAATGGTCTATATGAATCTTCTAGTATTGAAGTCAGAAAAGACACAACAAAGGTGATCTTATTTTCTGTTTTTTAATTGTGAGGAACTGAAATAAATGATCAGATAACAATGAACTGGGCGCCTATTCATAACATAGATTTGCAACATAAAGCAATATTATAAAGGATAATTATGTAGTATAAAAGGTCATATAACATGAAGAATGAAGTTCATACAACATGAAATTAATACAATCAAGTTAGTACAGCATGAAGTCATATACCATGAAGTTAATACAACATAAAAATGATATGTTCTATTACATAATTTCCAACCATATCCCTGAAAATTAAAAGTATTGTTATAGTAAATACGAACAGAAATTAAAGGCAAAAAGGAAGATATTCATTTTAATAGTTATTGTCATAGCTCAGAGGTTAACAGTAAAGAAGGCCCTGGGGAGACAGTGCCTGGATACAACTCTCAGCTTCGTGACTTACTAGTTGTGTGACTTTGGACAAGTTGCCTATCATCCTGTGCCTGTTTTTTCATATGGCAAAATGAGAAATATTTTAGCAATAATAGCTACTTCATAGAATTGTTTGATTAAATGACAAATACATTTAAATGACTTATAACAGTACCTGGAACAGTTAGATGTGAAATATGTGAAATATATATGAAAATATATGAAAAAATGTGACTATGTCCATCTCTGAATAACCAGATCAATTAGAGATCTACTCATCTACTGATAAAATAAAAGGTTCTTAGGAAATAATTGAAGAACAATGACCTGTGCTTCTGTGAACAATGCTAGCCTCCCTTACACAATCATAGAGTGATTAAAAACGTTGAACAGCCAATATTTTGTTACTGTGGCCCCTACATTTGACTTAG